GGGGTGTGTGGGCCAAAGAGAGAGAGAGAGTAGAGAAGCACCAGCGAAGGGAGTTTGGGTCTCAGGGCCCAAGAAGGATGGGCCATGTGTGGAGGCTGCACTGAGTTCTCATTGATCACAAGTAGTGGGAATAAAAGAGGCAAAATCCCTTGGCAATTGTTCTGGTTTATTTGACAGGGACAAGGTGTACAGACAGTAGGCAGGGCAGCATTCCTGTTGACATCCTTGTGCCTGTGATTTGAGGTCCTAGTGCTTCAGATGTGGGCACAGTCTCTGAATAGAGAGTTGGGGGAGCAGGACAGCCTAGTCCACACTTCCACTCACAGCAGGCTCATGCAAACATTCCCACAGAAGGTTGAACAGCATATGTCATTTGCCTGACACTTTTGGAAATATGAACAATGGTACTTGCATAGTTCTATGCTAGGCTGGTTCTCACAGGCCTTCATTCCTGAAAAGGGGTGGGAAGAGGATTAACAGAACCATGGGCATAAAGAACACCTTTGTCAAACTTAAAGCTCCTCCAGGACCTCAGAACCAAGGCCCCATTCGCAACACTCCTGGACTTTCTAGGGAACTACCTTCCTGCCGCTCACCAAATCCTGGTGATTGTAGTACCTTAAATCCTATCTTCCCACCCTATCTCTAACCTAATAGATGCCTAGGCTTTTCCATACACCTGCATCCAGGACCTTGTCTCTCCTATTAGTCATAGCCTTGGTTAAGTCACCCTCATAAAATCTCCACTCTGACCCTGAGAACGCAAGGAAGCCTGAGACATCTCCAAAACCCTCCATCACTTTCCAGAATTTGGAGGATCCAGAGAGGAAGATGAACTTGCCTCTTGCCCCTCTTTCTCCTCTCCCCACTGCTGCCATCTCCAGTATCCCTGCCCTTTCATTAGTTCTCCTTCTCCTGCCACCCTCCTGGTCCCTGTGATAACTTTAACTTGTCCTGAACACCCCAAATTTTGCCTGCCCAGTGTCCTTTCTTTCTACACCTATACCTACCCCCATAACCCTCTCTGGATGTTTACCCCTCACAATTGCACATAAATTAAAGAATAATTTTCTTGTTTTCCCATCTGATTCTCAGCTCTGATGCACGTTTCCCCACAGTATGTACCATTTGTCTCTGGATTTTTTGGACAGAGAAAAAAAGATGTAGGTTTTCCCTTCACCCCCATCACTATTCCTCGGGCTGGGTAAAGGGGGTTTCCCACGGTTTGGGACAGCCCAGAGTCTGCAGAGCACTGTGGTCAGAGCCAGATGTACAGAAAGTTACCAACCCCCAGGTCCTGCTCATGGGTACAACCCCTCCTTGCTCTCTCCCTAGATCTCCCCCAGCCCACCACGTACTCTGCATACTCTTCCATGCACGGTATCCACCTTGGGCCTGCAGCAGCAGCACACAGAGGAGCAGAGCGGACAGCAGACCCTTGGACATCATGACTGACCAGAGCAGTGAGTCCTAAGTCTGGCCAGGATGTCACAGGCTTCCCTGCAGAGTTCAGCATGGAGAGCGAAGGAAAGAAAGGATTATCCGCAGCTCCTCATTGCCTCCACTGGCCAATCCAAGGTAGACAGTCCTTGTTCCTCCCCTTGTCCTGCCCCTTACCCTGTCCTATTCTATGTGAAATTGAGCTTCTGCAGGGATGACACCTCCTCTCCCATAATTAATTAACCCTCTCCTTCTTGCTAACAGAATTTTTCTTTTCTGAAAGGTACATTTTATTTATGCTTTCTAATTATAAAATACTTTACAGAAAAAAGAAAAATACATACTTTTTTAAAAGATGATAATCTCACTGCTTATAATTAACCTATTTTCCATTGCATTATCTTTTAGTTTGTCCATACATTTAATATAAACAGTCCTTTATTTTCTCACTTTTTTTTTTTTTTTTTGTCTTTTGTCTTTTTCCGTGTCCGGCAACGGATCGCAACCCTCAGTGTTGCCCCCGTACCAGACCGGGGACCGGCAACGGGATCGCAACCCTCGGTGTTGCTCCCACGCCTCGCTCAGCCAGTGAGTGGGAACCGGTCTGTATGTGGGATCCGAACCCTCGGGCGGGAGTGCCGCCACGCTTCCCAAGCGGCGCACTATCCAGTGTGCCACCGGGCCGGCCCCTATTTTCTCACATTTTTGAGTCACTCATCTTTTGTTCCCGGTCTTCTGCCACCCTTATTTAACCATGTAAGTATTTGTAATGTCATTATTTCTCAAAATGAACCACATTATTTTTTATAATTACATACATCTCACTGTGTCCCTCAACTGTCAACTGTTTGGAATATATCAATTGTTGATATTCAGAACAATATCATTTTGAACATTTTTATTCATGTTTCCTAGGCCACAATAGAAGAAGTTGAATTAGCAGGTCAAAGAATAAGTACATGTTTTGTATGTACTATATATTATACACCAGCATATATATACACACACATATATGGAGAGATAGAGAAAGAGAGAAGACGGGGCCGGCCCGGTGGCGCACTATCCCCGCTTGGGAAGCGCGGCAGCTCTCCCGCCCGAGGGTTCGGATCCCACATACAGACCGGTTCCCGCTCACTGGCTGAGCGAGGCGCGGGAGCAACGCTGAGGGTTGCGATCCCGTTGCCGGTCCCAGGTCCGGTACAGGGGCAACACTGAGGGTTGCGATCCGTTGCCGGACACGGAAAAAGACAAAAGACAAAAAAAAAAAAAGAAAGAAAGAGAGAAGACAGAGACAGAGAGCCAATTAATTTTGTAAACAAACATGTTTGAGTCAACAGAGAATGATTTTCAATTTCCTCAAATCCTGTAAGACACTAGAGTGTACATGGGGAGCTACCGGGCAGGAATCCGCCCCCATTTTCTATACAAATTTGAGTAACAGAGGAATGAATGTTTGTCATCTCACAGATGTGAAGAATCTTGACTCCAATATTTACCAGTTTTGTAACACTGGTGAAATCCTATAACCTCCATAGACTCATTTTACCCATATTTTCTTGG